GCTGTGCAGGGCAGAAGACAGAAAGCCTGCGCGTGAATTGAAAATGCCTGTATCTGTATTCGTCTCGGACAGAATAAAGCCTTTGACTTCCTGCCCCAAATCTTGGCACCTGCTACCCTGGACTGCACTGGGCAGGACTGCCAGCTCTGGGGGCAGGGAGCTGCCTGCCCATGGCCCCCTGTGCCTGGACAGGGCCTGGAAAAAAGAAGACACACAATAAACGGGCAGGGGGAGAGGGAGCAGAAGCTGTCACCGTGAGGCTGCACTCTGGACGTGAGGACGCTAACGGCATTGGGACTGTCATTGCCCGCCAATCCTTCATTTCCATCAAAGCCCCTGAAACCACACTGTGCCTCCCACCAGGTTTTTCCATGGGAACAATAGTCTGTCAGTCCTGCTGTGAAGGTACAATGCCCGTCCTGATGTCACAGAACTTTTGTCCGTCCCTGGTGGCCTGCTGCTCTTTATCCTGATGCTTTGAAGGTGCCCTGAGTCTGCACGAAGCTGTGTTTTCTCATCCAGCGCTGTGCTCACTTTGTTTCCTACGGCAGGTCCCGAGCCATCTTGTACACCTGTGATCAGCACCTTTGTCCAGAACACAACGTAAGTAGGAAAGAGAGGTTCCAGCGGAGTAAACAACCAGCACAGGACAGAGTGCTCCCTGGCTGTGAGCGGTCCGGGCAGGGCGGTGGCCGGTACAAGCAAGTGCCCCGTGCAGCCCCGCACCTGCTGTCGTGGTCTAGCAGCACTCGGGGCGCAGCGGGCAGCTCCTCCCGGAACTGGAGCATAGCTGGAGCCCAGCAGAGCAGCCAGCCCGCTGCTATTTCTGAAGGAGCCCAGTGTGGTTACTCCGAGAGCTGTAATTAAGCTCATCTATAATTTGATAAGTGGGAGTAACCTCGCATTTTATAGCGTAATTAAGTCTCACTGAGAGAGCAGACACAGTGTTTCTGGGACCCAGCGTCTCCTGACGTTGGTCCCTGTTCCCACTCTCTCTCTGACACACCTCTGTGGATGCCCAGGCCAGGGTGGTCCCCAGCCACAGCCCTGGGGATGCCGTGTGCCCCTGCCCCGTCCACCCTCCATCCGCTGGGAGATTCCAGCAGCCACAAAGCTGGGGGTCAGGAAAGCCTGCACCTCCCTCTCCATGCTGCTCTCTGCACAACTGTGGACTAGCAGGAAGCTGGCCTTTCTGCTCCCCGCCCGGCCCCGGCACTGTGCTACACGCCAGACTCCGACCTCGCCCAGCCCACCCGCTCTAAGGCCCTGACGGGGAGATAGGACAGCCTGGGGGTAGAGGAAGGGCTCTGGGGATGGAAGCCTGCAGGCTTGGTCTCATCTTGGCTCTCCCGTGTTCTGGCTCTGGAATCTGTAAGATGGCGCTAGCAGTCCTGCCTGACTCATAAGCTGCTTCTGAGGATCAGATGAGAGGTGTCGTGAATGCACTGGCGTGGAGTGGCAGCATCTCACCAGGAGTATGAAGCCTGTCTCAATGCTCTTAGCTGTGTGAGGAGAACTCTGATGGCCCTTCACCCTGGTGTGTGTCATCAAGAATGAGGGATGACGGGATGACCACAGCTGGAATCTCTGTTCAAACAGGGAGGAGTATGGAAATCTTGTCAAATGAGGGACCTGAGCTCTTGATCCTGACTTGGCCATTTCCAAATATCCGAAAGCCTATTTGAGAAGAGTTAGATTGTTCTGTGCAGATCTGGGTTATGCATAACCAGGTGCCCAAATAGTTAGGTTAGAGGTGGTAGATTTCAGCTTAGTCTCTGAATACATTTTCCCAAGCCAAAGAAATGTCCTCTTAGGAAGTAATGAGCTCCCTGTCACTGGAGGGGTTCAAGCCCTGATTAGCAGGCTCCTTGTCCAGGAGGCTAAGAGTCAGGAGTGATGACAGCTAAGTCCTTCTTTCCTTCTCTGTGTGGGGGTCCTGGCAACCTCTGTGAGTCCTGCTCCTTGGCCCTGGTCCCAGGCCCAACAGCTGCCCCCCCCCCCATGCCTCTGAAGCCGCCACTCACGAGTCACCTTTCTTCGTGCCTGCATGTACCAGAAAGGCCTTAACTGGTCTGGGTTGTCTGTTTTGTATCCCCCAGAGCACCAGGGCCCCATGGCTTTCTTGTTCTATCTCTTTGAGCAGAAACAATCCCTGTATCTCCCAAGCTCCATGCTCACATAACCCCCAAGCCCTTTGAGGGCAGCTCTAGAATCTGTCTGTGCCCATGTCTGGGCTCTGGCACTCCTGGAGCAAGCCCTAGAGGGGCCCCTCCTGGGGCAGTGTTAGCCCAGCCACGGCAGATCTCCTGCTGGAGGGATGCTGCTGAGGTCCCCAACATGTTCTCAGAGGGTGGCACTCAGAGCCCAAAGGAGGAAGGGACAGAGGAGCTGGCTTGTATGGCAGTGCTCTGTGGTTGTCACTGTGCACAGGCTTGAAGAGTCTTCGGTTACATAATGGAGGTGTTTTTCCCTCCTTATTTTAGATCCCGGTGCCATCTGCCCTGTTTTTCATGCATCACCAGCTCTGGGCTGGAGGTTAGATCTGGCTTGACACCGGGCTGCCCCCACACACACACACACTTGGTGACAGACGTGGGGAAGGCTGTTTCCTTATCTGTGAAATGAGATAAAACCCCACCCTGCCTACCTGCCAGGGCTGTTGCCACAGGAATCAGAGGAGAGGTGGCAGCGACCTGGCTGGGTAACATGCCCAACACTGCATACATTTGCCCAGTTGCTACCTGACTGCTCGTGCCTGGGGCCGCCCGTGCCAGGGGAGCCTCTGCCTGCTCACGTTGGCACCTGCACCACAAGGGCTCGCACAGATTTGCAGAGCCCGGCCGTTTGAAATACACAAAATGAACAGACCTCACAAGTGGGGAGTCTTTGTCAGACTCCCTGCCACGGGTGGCAGGGATGCTGCCCTAGCAGCTTGTGACAGGCAGGGCCAGGCCGGCCTGTCACCTGCTCAGGCAGCCTTTTGGCCCCAGGTGGAATGTTAAGCACAGCATGTGCTTAGTGACAAGGCACCGGTCAGGGACATCTTGCAAAAAAGTCCTCACCTGCCCCTAGCTATCAAGGGAGCGGTGTGTGTTGGCTGGAGGCACCAGACCACGGGGGTCGCCAGACAGAGGCCTCCTCCCTGCTCCCCACCCCAACAAGTAGGGGCAGTTCTTTGCCTGCAGATGAGCAGCAAGAGTAGGTATCTGGTGACCCCGACTGGCTTAGCTTCCAGGGCTGCTGTGAGCCACAGCATAATGTGACGGTGAATTGTACCGCTCAGGAGACTTGTTCTGGTCCTGGTTCTGCCCAATGCACTGTGACACTGGGTGACTCACTTCCCTCTTTGGTTCTCAGCTATGTTGTCTATAAAATGGGAACAACAACCTCTGTTTTGTCCACTTCACTTACCTCTTATAAAGATCAAAAATAGCTCCTGTACCCAAGTGGACTCCAAGCTGCCAGATAGTGAATGGTAAATGTGTGGTTTTAGTTAGCACTGAGATTATCTGGAGGGAAGGTGCCCTTTCAATCACAGGGATGAAAATTAAACATCAGGACAGTCCTGTCCTCCTGCCGAACACTCCAACAGACGCATGTGCAGCTTCTCCAGTGTGCAGGTTACTGCTGATCGCGGCCCAGAGCGTGTGGCCACATCCCTTCCCTCCAGCTCCCAGGCAGGGCTGCGTGTGTAGTGTAACTCCAAGTGCTACATCCATTTTCCTTTCATAAAGTGAAGAATGAAAGCAAATTCTCAGCTCCCCCCCATGTAAAAATGCAACTCAAAGGGTCCTGCTAGAGGCAGACTCAGTGGTAGGAAAGAATCTTATTGTTATGCAAACACAACGCCTACTGTCCCTGTCTCCCCTCCCTCCCCAGGCCTTCTTGGTCTCACCCAGCAGGCCCGGAGCTGGGACTGGGCGTCCCTGTTTGAAGACTGAGGGGGACAAAAGCCCGAAAGGCAAGCTGAATCTGTTCATTGCGAGACCCCCTTCCTCGGCCCTGCCTGAGCTCCGTGGCCCGTTCCAGCTGCCCGGGTTCTTCTGCCTTCTCCTGGCAGCAGGCTCCAGGTTGAAGCCAGGCAGCTGCTAGAAGAGCGGGAACGCTGTTTCTAACTAACGGGCTTTGCTTCTTTGTTCCCAGGCAGTTTCCGAGGTGGGAATCCCGAACCCTTTGAGACTCAGGCCTGGTTGGAAGCTCCCCAGTCTGGGGCCCCGAGCGCCAGCTCCGGCTGCGGAAGAGGCGGGGCGCCCTCTAGCGGCCGGCCTGGCCCTCGGGGAGAGGCGGAAAGGCTAGTTGGCTTTGCAAGGCTGGCTTGGGACTCTGCCCTAGGGCCTGTAGTCACCTCAAAGATGGTAGTGCCTGGCTCTGATCCAAACATCTGGGCCCTGGGCAGTTGCAGGGAAAGCAGGCTCCAAATCCAAGCCCCAAAAGTGATAATGCAGACTGTGCCTATCAGTAGCCTCACGGCCGGACAGCAAGCCATCAGCGAAGACCACCCTGAGCCTCCAGACCAGGGGTGTGTCTGTGTGTGAGTGTGTGAGAGAGTGTAAGCACCTTGTAAGACAAACAAGGAACCCAGACCCAACCCTGGGGGAGAAGGTGCCACTGTGCCCAGCCTTGCCACCACTGTTCCCACAAGGGTGCCCCATCGACATGGGCCCCACCCCAAGCAAACCCAAGCAGACCCAAACCATAAATGACCTGTCCTCTTAGTCAAGGAGCACCTCCACACACGTCTTTTCTAAGTCTTAAAAAAGGTTGGAGAAATCTCAAATGGAAATCTCCAGAATGATTCCCACGCCCCCCACCCCCCCATTCAGCAGCACCAGTCACCCAGCACCACGGGCGCGCGGAGGTACACGGGGGCACTGGTGTGTGTGGCTCGGGCAAGGACACAGTTAGGCAGAGGCTTCTTGGATAAACGGATCCCAAACAGCCCTGGAATGCAGCATGTGAAGTGTCTCAACAGCAGTGACGGGAACACATGACTTGGACCATTTATAAGCAATAAAAGGGTTATTTTATGTATCCTTTTTGAGCTGCAGATTCTTCATGTTTTTACAGAAAAAAAAATCTGTCCTTTTTACTCATGGGGCTGGCTTAAGGATCAAATGAGATAAAATGTTTGAAGTGATATTTTGGCTTAAGGATGTAAAAGGATCTGGATTCTATTCTATAATAAATCTGTTTTTAATATAATGATGTTTTCCCAAAACCTCTGTATGAAATGAATTCCAGATAGACGGATGCACCCTCTTTGCTCTGAGGCTCAGTGGCCCCTGCCCGCCGCTATACACTCTGTTTGTGAAGGTAAACAAGTCAGGCGGGGTTGTTCCCTCTGGTCAATGCTAAAACTAGCAATGGGTTCCCTTGGGACAATGATAACACACACGTGAAGACTCAAGTGGACCTCACCATTTGAGCCGCCCTCCTCCGCCCTCCCTCCGGCCAGGGCTCCCCCACAGCGGCCCTGGTGAAACTGTCAGTGTATGTAGATCTTGTCGGAGATTGCTCCGGGCAAGTGGGTCATGATCTGCATTCGCACCCACCAGTAGTAGTCCATGGGGTGGTAGCGGGTGTAGGGTGTGGCAGCGGTCAGGGCGTGTGTGATGGCATCAATGACGGGGGTCATGTCCGTGGAGCCGCTGTTGCAGTAGTTCTCCACCTTGGCAATCTTCTCGTCGAAGTACTTCTTGCCGTAGTCGTTGCGCACGATGTCAGGCAGCCCGTCCCACAACTTCTTGGCAGTGGCCCGGATGCTCTCGGGGCTGTAGAGGCTGGTGGCAGCGATGAAGTTGCCGGGCTCCACCACACTGACCTTCACACCCAGGGGGTGCATCTCATAGCGCAGGCAGTCAGAGAAAGCCTCTACCCCGAACTTGGTGATGCAGTACGCGGAGCGGGCGGGGTTGGCCATGCGGCCCAGCATGCTGCCGATGTTGACGACGCGGCCTGCAGAGGGAGAAAGCAAACACCTGCTCAGGTGGCACTGGCCTGTGTGGCAGAGGGCGGGGGCCTGGCATGTTTCCAGAGGCCTGGCTGGGACCATTTCTGAGCCACCCAGGGTCGGGGGCTTCCCATGCGGTAGCAAGGCCAGCTCAGGCCCACACATCAGCATCTTGATCTTCCCCAGGTGCCCAGGTGTGCCAGGCAGGACAGAGGAGGAGCAATGAGTGAGAAGCAGGCCTGCATGCCAGCAGGGCGCAAAATAATGGGCAACAGTCAACTAACTCAAAAACCAGACAAAGCCCTGCCCAGTGATAGTAATTTGGGGGCGAAATGCAGTGAGAGAGCGTTGGAGGTGAGACAGCTGTGTCTGTGCGGATCTGAGAGTTCACAACAGGCAAGTTCTGATGCTGGTCAGGGAGAAATACAGTCTAAAACCTCCTCCTCGTCCTCATAGACCTTAAAGTTCAGCTCAGCTAGTAAGATGTGCAGACAAGCAGCACACCAGGTCCAGTGTCCATCACGATGGCAAGGCTAGGGATGGAGCCGGCTGTGCAGAAGAGGGGGTACCCCCAGGCTGCAGCTGCCAGGAAGGCCCTTAAGGCAACCCTGAAAGAGAACAGGACCTGTGCTGTTAGCTCCGAAGCTCCCTGGGGTAGCAGGAGCAGGGGTTCTGAACCTGACTTCAGGGCAGAGTCCCAGGCACTGGAAGGGAGTGGTGACCCCGAAAGGCTCTCTGCCACAGCCCAGCCTAGGGGTGGCAGGGCTCACCACAGCTCTCCCAGCCCTGGGGGCAATGGGGTGGATGGCAGATTACATTCAGCCCAGCTGGGTGAGCCCTGGCAGACCTGGGATCAGCTTGCCCACCGCGTGCTTGCCCCCAGGAGGAAACACACAGCCCACCTGCACGCTACGGGAGGCGCCTTTCAGAGACTCTAAGTGTGAAGTCACTGAAGGGTTGGGTTTTCTTCTAAAACCCTACAGCTGCACCCTGCATTCATTCCTGTTATTGTTAGGACTTCGGGATAGATCTATGCATCTTGTTCTTTTTGTGACACTTATTTGCTAGTCTGGAGAGAAAATCAGAGTCAGTGACTTCCAAGGTGGTTTGCTTACATCTAGCTACCATGGTTTGGATGTTGTGTCTGTTTTCCAAATTTCTAGTCTTGGTTATTACCATTAATTCTCAATACCACAATTGCCTCGTTTTTTAACTATAGTATAGTAACCCACAGAATGGCTCCGGCACATTATACTTAACCACACCCTATTGATACCATGATGTGTACATATAGCTTTGTGCAAAGGGTGATTATTTCCCTAGATTAGGTGCCCAGAGTGGATCACTGCTATGATCTCGAAGCCATTTATGCATAGGTGGCTGACCTATTCCTGAAAGCCTCAGGCCCCTTCCCACCTGGCCACAGCCCCTGTGCCCACCGTCACCCCCGCCCAGCATGGCCCCAGGACTCAAGAGCTCAGCCTTGCTGGGTTGTGGGTGTTGGATCTACTGGGAAAGGTATTCCATTCGGAGCCAAGATGAACAGAGGAAGCAGGTCTAGGGCAAGTAGGAGCTCCCTTCCCCACTCACCTTTGGCCCTTCGGATGAGGGGGAGAAAGGATTTCGTCGTCCGAACCAGGCCCCAGAGGTTCACATCTGCCACCTCCTTGTATGTCTCCATGCTGGTGAACTCCACCTCCCCGAATGTCGAGATGCCCGCGTTGTTAACCAGGCCCCACATCCCTGGACAGGAGAGGACAGACCTGCGGTCACCACGTGGGCTCAGCCTCAGACACCGCCCATCAGCCTGCAGCCCACTCCCCTCCCACTGTTGTCCCTTGTCCCTGTGACTTCCCAGCCTCTTGCCCGAGGCTCTCAGGAAACTTTCTGGAGTCATTCAAGAGTGACAGGAGATAGAGAGGCCTAAGGTGCTGGCTGTGACCCTCCCTTAAGTCCAGAATGTCCAGTGCTCATGTCCCATCTGCCTGACTCAATTCTCCGGGCCCATGATGACCCGGCCCCGCCAGGGCCCCCTGCCTCAAGTCCTACGTCACCTCAAACTCCCACTTCCATTCCATGCACCTAGCTCATCCCCACACCTGCACCTGTGTACTCGCTCCTGCCTCTGAGCTTTGGCTCACATCCTCCCCCCTTGCAGAAACTAGAGGAACTTCAGGGGTCTTCCAGGCCAAGCCTCCCCCCGCTGCAGGACCAGAGAGGGGACCAAGCTGCTCAGACACACATCATTAGAGGTTCAGCCAAGCCTGGATCACAGGCAGGCCCAGTCCTGCTCCACCCAGAGACCCTCCTAACAACTACTCTGTTCTCTCCTCCCTTCCTCTGAGCCATGGCACTGCTTGCTGGCCGTCACACGTGTGGCCCCACTGGGCTGTACACAGGCAGAGGAAATGTACGTGCTCACGGCACACCTGGGTTGACAGTTTCCTGTGAGGCTAAGTAAGGGTGGCTGGCTTTTGCAGACCCAGAGAACGCTGGTGCTGGACGGTTCCCTGGAGTTCATGTAGTCTATTAACTAATCTCATAGCTGGGGAAACTGAGCCCTGAGGGAAAAGGACAGGCTTAAGTTTACCCAGTGAGTCAGAGGCAGAGCTGAAAGTGGCAGTGAGGATGCAGTGTTGTTTTGCAGGGCCCTTCTAGAGTTCAGTTTTTTGGGGTGCAAGGGCTGGGTGGGCCAGAGCCTCAGGACAGACCCAGGCCTGCCGTTTTCTTGTGGAAACCCTCAGGGTTTAGCCTCCTGAGGGTGTGCTCCCTCCCAAGGCACAGCCTCAGAGCTCCCCTCCTGGGGCCGAGAACTGACTGTGGGAACTCAGCCCTGCTTCAGTTCCTGAGTTAATCATGGAAATGAGTTTGTGTAAATGACAGAGTAATTGGTCTCTAGCTGCTTTCCTTCCGTGTTACCCAAATTAAAGCTTCCTCAACTGACCTCTGCTGCCTTCTCCTTCAATTATGGAGAACTAAGGACATTTATTAACTGAAGGAAATTGCTGGTTAACAAAGTATCTGTGACCAGCTCACTCCCACTCCCCACCGAGGCCATGTGGGCGCCTCCCGCTGCTCCCTCAGGGCTCACCCGTGACCTCACCGAGGACACCAATGACACAGAGTGATCCAGGGCAACCCCAGCTCCCACCCTCTCCCTGCAGACTCCCCTGGGTCTCAGCCTCTTCTCTTCCCCGGATTGCAGGAGGCCTCCCCGCCTGTCATGGCTGACGCCTCACCCGCCATCTTCAAAGCTGTAAGACACTGACCCTTCTCTCTCCTTTACACAACTTCAGCTTTTCCCTTGCCCCTGCTCCTTCCCTTCCATGCTGTCTGCATTAGGTGCTCAATAAATGTGAATTAGGTGAATGAATGTCTACAAGTACTGAATCTCCAGAGCCTAAAGAAGCTTCTGTAACCGTAGTACCTGCTCTCCTCCCCTCCGCGCCAGCCTTCTGAGGACGGCCTGCCCTCCCCATCTCCCACCTCGCCACGCTGGCTCTCCAGACCCTGCACGCTCCGGGTCTCCAGGGTACACGCCCAGGCCCCCGCCGCAGGCTTCACGCTCCTCCACCTGGCTATGATATGGTGCCACTGATGCTCACGATGCTCACTCCACCCAGGGTGTCAGTGACACCCAACGCTTCCTGCACCCTCCCTGATACCTTTCTTCCACCTGCTCCTCCCCCCAGATACAGGTGTCCCCCATTGTCCTAACCTACTTTCCCTGAATTACACTCAACCCTTAGGTGTCTTCATCTTCTTCATGTTCCTGGAATTTCCAGCTGTTTTGTGTTTGATTCATAAGGGACCATATCACATGCCCCAAAATGCATACAGTCCTTTTTCCACCCCAAAATAAAGCAATGACATCTGACACTACTACCTCAAAAAAGTCTAATTAAACGTGGCCTGTGCAAGCACACTGCTTCTGGATTAGAGCTTTGCTGACCTGACAAGTAGTAACAGCTTGCGGACCCCGCCACTCTCTGGAGTCCTCAAGAACGGTCCTGCTGGCCGGGGTGACAGCGTTTTCCTGCGTAGCCCCAACATCACGTTCACATGATGGCTCCCTTGTCTCCCTCAGGAGTCACGGCTCTCTCCTAACTCCAGTCTCCTCCTGTCTCACTCCCACCTGAATGTCCCACAGGTCCCCAACTCACCCTGACCACAGCCAACACCCCAAGTTCCCAGGCTGCCCCAGCCTGCTCCTCCTCCGTGTTAACTTTCATCTTTGACTTCTCCAGCCTCTTCACTTCTCCCCACCAAAGGAGTCACCAAGTACTGTTACTGTTACTGCCAAAGATTGAGGTGACAGCTGCCAGGCCCCACACGAAACACTGTGCATCCATTAACTCACCTGATCCTCACAATCAACTCTACAGTAGAGACTAAGTTGTCCCGTATCTGGTTGAGGTAACCGAGGCTGGGAGAGGTTGAGCACCTTGCTCAATGCCACCCAGTGAACAGGTGGCGTGGAGGGGATCTGGGTCCAGGTCCGTCTGAGGACACAGCCTCACACTGAGCCCTGCTGCTGCCGGTTTTCTCTGCTGGGTCATTAGATTCTTCTTTCTGGATTCTTCCTTCCTGCTGCCGCCTGCATTAGCTGGCCGATACCTCTCTCCTGTACCATGGGAGAAGCCTCCTCCTGGGGAGCTCCCTGTGGAGCTCTTTCTCTCTACCTCCATCCTCACCCCACCCTCTCAGCCACCCACCTTCCTCTCCCCAGCCATTTCCTGCTCCCAGGGTCCCCATCCTGTAGCAGGGTACAGGGCCTTTCCCAGGCTTCGCTCCCACTCCCCATCATGGACTCTGCCTTCCTGAGTGAGAACAGCCTGCCACCGCCATCATCAGGGCCCCTCCTGCCCCGCCTGCTCCCCACCCCCCAGCCTGAGAGCCGCTTGTGCTGAAATTCTAGCCATGCTCCCTCAGTCGGATCTAGTGTGAGCACTGGACGGCGCGCAGAGCACTTTCCCCACTTCACAGATGGGCAAGCTGAGGCCCCCACAGCTGAAGGTTCAAGGCCAAAGCCAGGCTTTTATTAAGAGGTGAAGCCCAGTCTTCTGCCTCCCAGACGGAGGGTGTCCCAGATGTAGAGTCTTCCCTGTCCATGCATAACACCCCAGTGCTGTCACCTCCTCAGAGGTCCTGTCCCGAAGCCACTGACTTCCTCTTGACTGGTGTCCAACCACAAACTCCTCCTGTTAGGTCATACCCTGCTAGCGCTCAGCACACTATGAAGTATGCAGCAGGCGCTCAATGTTTACTGACTGACTGGTATTGATGGTGCCAAGATCAGGCCATGACACAGCTGGGGCCCACTCGCTCAGCTTTCCCCTGGGGTGGGGGTGGGGAGGGCCAGTCGCAGGCTCCAGATGTCCAGTCCCTCAGAGCCCTGCTGCGGGGAGGGGCTGGTGGCAGATGGCCCTGGTGCTCTAGTCAGACAATCCCTTCATCTCGCCCCCCATGGCTGGCTCCCTGGCTTGGGCACAACTGCTCCACAAAGCCAGGGTGAAGGACATCAAACTCACCACCAAAATGTGCTCCCATGGTGGGGGGATGGGGAAGGGAAGGGACACCTCTCCCGAAAGGTTCCTGTCTGGGAGAACCAGAGGCAGCCCCTGCTGGTCTGAAAGCCCCGAGAGGGCGCCACCTGGTGTTCAAAGCCAGCATTGCCTGAGAAGGCGGAATTTCCCAGCCTTACCAGGAAAAAGACAGCCCAAGGCAGAGGGGAGGGAGAGAGGAGGAGAGGAGGTGGAGAATGGAGGGGAAAAGGGAGAGGGAAGGAGGGAGGAAGAGACAAGAGGAGGAGAAGGGGGGGCACACAGCCGCATCTCTTACAGATTTATTTTTTTCAGACCTAAAAACCTTCAAATTCTTTTTCCAAAAAATGCAGTAGTGGTTAAGTCGTGGTGAGTGGTTTATCAAACCCTCCCCCAATGTGTCATGTGGAAAAAGCAGCAGGGAGAGGTTTGTGCGCCAGGGTTGGTGCTGGGGTTTGAGCTGGGATCCCAGGGTGGGGGTGGGGGTGGGGATGAGTGGCCTGGAGCCCAGCCGCTGCGGTTAGGCTAACTGGCCAGTCCAGTGCAGAGAATGGAGGTGGTCCCGCCCCAGGGGCGGGCGGCAGGGGACAGGGGCCCTGAGCAGCCCCATTCTGTGCCCAGGTCCTCGATGAAGTCTTTCCACAAACCCATAGGCTGTAATGAAGTGGCTTTACGGCGCTGAGGCAGCTGTTTTCCTGCCTAATGGTTTATGGAGGCAATATCCCAGCTGCCCAGGGGAGGTGGCGGGAGGAGGATTTAGCACCAGGAGGGGCGAGGCAGGCTGTACATTCCAGGCTGGTAATCATCCCAGCGGGACCAGCCTGCCTTCTCTTAGCGGGACAGGGGCGCTGGCTCTGCCTGTTAATTATTAAACAGATGCGCAGTGAGGTTGGACTCACAGGCCTCTCCTGGGAGAACAGAGGGGCCTGGGAATGGCCTGTGGAGGGGTGAGGGCGGCACTGGGCTGACGAGGTGGCACTTGAGTGACAGGCTGACCGCTGAGCAACAGCGCCACCAATAGCCACTCGGCACAGCTTCTGAGGCAGCTGCTGGGGGGTGACAGCATGTCAACCTGACTGATACTCGCTCAGCACCTGGGGCCTAGCACAGGCTCTGGTCACACCCAACCTGGCAAAGTCGCCACTTGGGCATGCTGCTCCCACCCCACTCTGTGGGAGAGCAGAGCTCAGTGAGGCATACCCTTTCTGCCTAGGCCGTCAGGGAGCTCAAAGGTAAATTTCATAGACTCGCTTTTTCACGTATGCTGCTGCACTGCCCAGCTCCAGGGAGCTCTGCCCATCACTGCTGCCTTCTATGGGAATGGTGTCCCCAGGGTTGTACAACAGAGTCTCTGCCCCAAGGTCCCCCACATGGCTGAACTGGAAGGTCACTTGAGTCCTTATACTACAGGGACTTTCTGCAGCATTTGGCCCTGTTGGCTAAGGGCCCCCCAAACTTTCTGTTCCTTTAGCTTCTGGGGCCCTGTGTCCAACCTCTCTGACACCTGTCCCCTCCCCTCCTCTGGCCCCCAGAAGCTCACATTCCCCAGGATTCCTACCCTGCATTCCCCTCACTCCAGCCTCCCTTCCCACCATGAGCACCTGACCTCAGCCAGGACGCTCCCCCAGGCTGGGCACTTCAGCATCTCCCCAGCCCTCTAATTGTTCCTGCAGTGAAGGGTACCAGGTCAGGATAGGGGCCTCTCACCTGTCCTTGTCCCCACATCCAAGCCACCAAGTCCAGCCAGCTTTGCCTTCTCAATACTCCTCAAATCTGATCCCTCCTTTCCCAGTGCCCACCCCCTTGGTTCAGGACTCTCAAACCCATACTTAAACCCCCCTTTAAATCCACTGTTGCTGCTGCAGTGCTCAGAGTGAGCTTCACAAGTCTGACCAGGGCATTCCCCTCAGGACGGCCCCTTCAGGGCCCCCCGGTGTCCTCAGGAAGGCAGCCATGCTCTTCTGCCTGGCACCAAGGGCCTGGACAGCTTCCCTCCCAGCCCCATTTGCTGCCACCACCTCCACCAGACTTGACTCCTGATACCCACGGCCTGTCACTGCACAGCACACCCTGTGCCTCTCCCCACTGTTGTTCATGCCCTCCCCTCCTCCTGGAATGGCCCTCCTGCTCTCTGCCACAGTCTGCCCTAACCGGTCTGTTCCCACCGTGCCCCCAAGACCGGACTAAAGCCTCTTTCCGGTGCTGCTCTGCCTCTCTCAGCGCACTGCTGTCTAGTGCTGAAGTCAGTGCCCCACTGAACTGTGAGATCAGCGGGGACAGACTGTGCCTTGCCCATCTTTGTGTCCCCAGCACACAGCGCAGCACCTGGCATAGCGTGGGCATTTCAGTGAGCGCAGGCTCAACTGACCTGACCAGTGCATACCCCTCCCCCACTCCTACAGATCCTCAAATCTCCTCCTGGCTGTACTTCACATGCCCTACGGCACCGGTGTGTTTAATCCCCTTCCTCCTCCCGTGCAGGAGGAAGAATTAACAATAAAGAAAGGAGGCTTGTAGCAGGAAGCCAGCCGATGGAGGGTGGTGTTCAGGAAGGGCCCCTTCGAACAGCCCCATATACGAGCCCTGCTGCCCCAAGGCGCCCCCTACCTTTCTCGGGGTCCTTCAGGCTGGAGCGGACAAGCTCCACCGCTTTGTCCACTTCCTCACTGCTGCAGACATTGAGCTGGATGGTTCTCAGTCGGTCACTGTTCAAGCTGTCCAGCTGCTGAACCCCATCATGCCCTTTGTCCTGGGGAGGTGAGAGGCGTGGGTGTCAACCTCCCTCCTTCCCACCCGAGGCGGACTCGGACATGAGGCCCACTGCCAAGGCAGGAGCTGGCCCCAGGTCCCTGCCAAAGACTTGAGCTTTTTGACGACTGCAGACGGCATTCTCTGCAGGCCCAGCCAGGCCTGCCCCCGCAGCACGTGGTCTATTCCACCCCTGAACACCGACGTTATCAAGCGCCAAGCCAAGCGCCACAGACACAGCCAAGAATAGGGTGGAGACCTTGCCCCGAGACCTCACTGACAGGACTCTTTCTCTAAGCAGGGGTTGCAAATTAATGGGAGTTTGGACAATGGGGAGGGCGGGACCCCGAGGAAGAAAGCATATGTCAGTTGTCGTCCATGTGGTGGTATAAGCCCAGGGTTGCTGGATGCTTAGATTTTTAAGCTAGTAATTGGGATTTAAGTGGGAAATCCCCTCATTTATTGAGTGTTGGCAACCTATGCACATTAGGAGGAAAAAAATACTTGTGTGGGCCAAAGCCCATCCCACATGTGACCAACAGGCTGCCAGTTAGGCACCACCTGTGTTCCAAGCCCCATCAACCCCAAACCGGTAAGAGGCCAGAGCCAGGCTCTAACCCCAGCTCAGTTCCTAACTAGTTTGTGCACACCCGGGGTGTCTCTTAGCAGGTGTGCAGTTTTTTTGGCTGTAAAATAAGAACATCACCACCTGTCCTGACCTGTTCAGATTAATGGAATAAAGAAATAGATTTTTAAGAAACCTGTTAAACTAGAAAGTACTACACAAATGCAGGTATTATCAAACACGAGAAAAACATCACTCATTCAACAAACATGTCCGGGGCCTCTGTGCTGTTCTGGGTCTGTGCTAGAAACTGGAGATGCAAAGATAAAGAAGCCAGTCGCTGTCCTCAAAGAGTCAAGTAGCAGAGGAGACGGATGAATGAGCAAACAATATGGTGAGCGCTTGCTGATCGGGGCCTTGTGGGAAGAGGGAGGGGGCATGGAAGGAGGGGTGGGCAAGGGGGACTTTCCAAAGGCAGTGACAGCTGAGGACATTAATGAGAGAGGGCTGATGGGGATGGGGCACTTCAGAAGAGGTAAGAGGACACCACTGTAAGCCTTCTGCTGCAGGCTCCCCGGGTAGACGCACAAGGAAGCGGTGGGCATGAGGCTGGAGGGGGCAGGGGTCTGCTTGGGTGCACTGGCCGGCTGCAGGGGCTGCGAGTGTTTGCGATGTCGTGCTAGGCGCTGATGTGCTCTGCTTATCTCATTCGCCTTCGCATCATGAGGTCACATTTCATCCTATTCTATGACACACGCTTTTTTCACTATAGGGATGAGCTACAATCAATGTGAAAATTAGATATCATCAGTCATAACTTAATTGGTGGTGATTTTTCTGAGTGGTGCATGGAACGGTGATGCCTCTTACAGGAGGGCTGGAGCAGCTGACAGAGAATGAAGTGACAGAGAAACGCCGACTGTCCAGCCCAGCACTTGCCCATGGCACACGCAGCTGGGCCTGCAGCAAACATCCCAGCAAGGCAAGGGCAGGACACCCAGGACGTCAGCATGCGTCAGGGTGGAAAGTTCTCTGCAGGTTAGGCTGAGCCTGGTAAGAGGAGGGCCCTATCCCCAGGAATGGAGAAACCACGTTATGTGATTTCAGAGGGACATAGGAGAAATGGGACCGTGTCAAATGGGGCTAAAGGTGTGGACATAATTACTCCAGAAAGAAGACTCAAGCAGAACATGACTGAGAGAAACAGCTTGCTCTACACAGCCACAGAGAACAGGGCCAAGAAGTCAAGTTCACCTTAAAATCTTATGAGTGACTTTCTCAGTCTGGAGATGGCACGGGCTGCGCGGAGGTGTTCAGGCAATGAGTGGTAGAGGGAGGGGATTGTCGGGGGGTCGGAGGGGTGGCTGGTGGCGGGCATTGGGAATGCGGTACAGAGATAGTCCAGGCATCAGATGCGAGGTCTGGCTGCTTTTCCCTAACAGCCCTTCCACCCCTAAACTGTCACCATCGCAGCTTGGTTTCCCACCAAAAGGGAGCCTCCCCGGTGGCCCTTGGAAGAAGCAATGGGGCATGACCCACCCACAGAGTCTCTGCCCAGCCTGGGGCCAGGAATGCCAGTTACACCCAGAGTCACCTTTGCACAGAGCAGCCAGGCTGGAGGTTCGGTTAGTTTAGGGCTTGGCTCTGAAATCCCTGGGATATGCCAACCTTCCCAAACAGGACGGCAGGTATCAGATCTACAAAACCGACAGGCCTGGAGCTTATACTGTTGTTCCCACGGAAGCGCCACCAAAAAAGAACCAACGCCATCTTCAAGTCCAGGATGGGAGGGTGCAGTGCCCACAGACACCTCTCTTTTCCACAGACAGGACACAGGCACTAGGAGAACACGTGTCTTGCTTTCATACAGTCTTCCCATGGGGCTCCTCAAATGCTCTTGGAGTGGAGCCCACATGGTCTGAAGCTCAGAGGTGTTTTTTATAGATTATAGCTTAAATGCGCGAGAGCTGAGTGTCCTCCTTCTCAGGACGTTGTTAGCCCTGTTGCCATCGTTCAGCTCCTCTGAGGCCCCTACACAAGACGTCTCCTTGTGCCTCTAGCCAGCGTCACAACAATGCCCCTGCAGTTGCACCTCCAGGTCAGGGTGTCCACATGAACTCTTAATTTGGCAGTCTGGCAGCAAAGAGCCTCCTCTGAGAGGAAACTGGGGTTAATGTCACGGCCCATGGCTTCAGGGTTAGCATTCAGGCTCCCCATGAGAGAAATCCCCATGTCCCACCTTCAGCTGACAGACTACCCCAGGAACCCTCATCTGCCTCTAAGCAGCCTCCGCTCCCTGCTCCTGACAGCCACGCCAACAGGGACAGAGACTGGAGCTTGCCCCCAGCTATTCACAGGAAACCTTCCAACCCCCTCAGCCTGCTGGCCGCGGACTGTGGTGGCCCATCCCTTCAGGGATCCACTGTCCTCAGTCCAAGACCACACTGCAGGCTGTGCCACCTCCCTGGTTCCAGGGTTTCTGTGTTCTGGCGTCTCTGTCCCTCTGCAGGTCTCTGGAGTCTCTGGCCACCTCTGTCCTGCTGCTCAGGGACGAGCTCATGGTCCTGATGTGTTGGTGCTTGTGCAACTGGTTTACTGATAAACCTACTTCTTTCTCTCACTATCCCTTTAAACCTCACTTGTAAGCTATTTTTTCCTCCCCTTGAGGGAATTTCAGGCAAGTCTTGTTGCTTTTCCATTCATTTTCAGATAATAGACAGCCTCTTTGTTTTGGCATAGAGTCCTGTTCAGTCTATTAACCAAATAACTCCAACCTAGTCTGGTGTGAAAACCCAAACTCTCGAACTTGTATCCAATTTAAAACTTTAAAGGCCTCATTCTTGGGCCTTTAGACTTCTTGTGGTAAATACTAACGTAACATTCTGTGGCCTCAGACTCCAAGACACAAATAAACAATAAGCTCTCCAGGGAGTTCATCTGAAGCCCACTCTTTTTTACTGGAGACCAGAGAGAATATCACAGCACACTAATGACCCTTTCCACCCTCTCAGCTTCTTGCACTGTGATTTCTTATAACATCGAGGCAGGCGATGAGCCGCTCCTGGTTAAAAGGTTTTAGGTCTCTCAGCACACATTTTCAGGTGGTCCAGCACTCAGGGCAGGACACGAGGACACTCGGCACGTGTTCTATGTGAGCATCTTACCACACGTTAGAAACACCATGACAAGGGCAATCCTGGGGCAGCGTAATATTTACAGGGGGAGCAGGAGGAAGGGGCAGGCAAAAGAGGTGGGAAGAGCCAAGAGAGCATGAAGTCAAGAAAGAAAGAGTCACAAGCTAGAGCGGTTAATTTGGTCAAGAGCTGCAGGCCGGGCGCGGTGGCTCACGCCTGTAATCCTAGCACTCTGGGAGGCCGAGGCGGGCGGATTGCTCGAGGTCAGGAGTTCAAAACCAGCCTGAGCAAGAGCAAGACCCCGTCTCTACTATAAATAGAAAGAAATTAATTGGCCAACTAATATAGATACAAAAAATTAGCCGGGCATGGTGGCGCATGCCTGTAGTCTCAGCTACTCAGGAGGCTGAGGCAGGAGGATCGCTTGAGTCCAGGAGATTGAGGTTGCTGGGAGCTAGGCTGACGCCACGGCACTCACTCTAGCCTGGGCAACAAAGCGAGACTCTGTCTCAAAAAAAAAAAAAAAAAGAGCTGCTGCTGGTTGAGTAGCCGTGTTCTGAGAAGTGGCCATGAACCTGGCAGAATAGGGCTGCAGGTGTCCCTGATAAAAGCCGGTCAGAGGCACTCAGGCCCTTCAGGTCTGGTCCTGCTTCCTGTCCCAGCTCCCCACTTCTTCCTCCACAGCGCTTCAGCTACCTCAAACTACTGGCAGGGCCTCAATAGGCCACCCCCTCCCATTTCACAGGGAACCACTGCTCGTCTTTCCAGAGGGTGACAAGATACCACCTCCCACTAAGCCTCCCAGTGCTGACACAAGATCTGCGCCTGGCCAGCCCTGGCAGCACACTACACCTGCATGTACCACCTCCCCTTCACTCTATGTGGCCACAGCGACTTCCTGCTCTTTCGGACACACCAGGCCACTCCCTCCTCTGGACCTTTGTGCTTGGCTGTCCCCTCTTCCCCTAGACATCTGCAGCACTTGCTCTCTCACCTCCCTTGGGCAGGGCAGCTCCAGCCTACCTTCTCTGGGAGGTCTTCTTCCCTCTGGAAAATTGAATGCTCCCTCCACCACATTCACACTTCATCTTCTTTTCCTGCTTGATTTTTCTCCAGAGCTTTTATCATCCCACAGAGATGCAATGTACCTATTTATCTTATTCCTTATCTGTCTTCGCCCTGCCCCCTTGATATGTAAGTGCCACAAGAGCAAGAACTTCTCACTGAATTGTTATATGCTGTGTCTCCAACAGAGTATACCGTTGGTGCATTGTAAGTGCTCTATAAATACTTGTTGACTAA